TTCCATAGCAACAAAGAGGCAATTCTGGTCTCTGATGTAAAAGAAGCGGAGAAAATGACATGGTTTGGGGTTTCCACGTCCTGCAATGACATCTCCCATCTCCCAGTTGGGACATGAACACTGCTGTCATCTCAGTACCTTCTCCAGGGCTGCAAAAGGTCTGCTCCAGGTTCCACGTAAGGGGAGACAGAACGCCAAGAGCAGGCGTTGCATCCACAGCACCATTCTTCAAAACAAACAAACAAAAAAATCAACACACCCCATTCAGGACTTTTATTTCTATTTTTTTTTAATTTTATTTTCTTTGAAATTACAAAGAAACTCTCTCCAAGAGAGCAAGGAAAAAAAAAAAAAAAAAAAAAGCAACCCTGAAATATTTCCAAGCAGTTTTGTTCCATACAAACACCAGCAAAGTTCCATATTTCATCCACATCCATGTACAAAAACATTTTAAGTAAAACATCCCTCACACACATGTGCGCCAGTCTCAGAATTGAGCACATCATCAGATTGGCCTCACCCACCCTACCTAATCCTATTTTCCCGTTTTCTTTTTAAATTGGACATTTCTATGCAGGAAACATCTCCTTTTCTGCACAGCATTATGCATATCCAAATTAGTACAGATGGGCTTGGAATTAAATCCCCAGGCAGCACAGCCTGGCACAGAGCGGGGCGCTGGAGTTGTTACGCTGCCGTTTGCACAGCGAACTTTGTTGAATAGCAGGCGAAAAATCTTCAAAAGGAATAAAATGGTATGGCTAGAGGGAAAAAGTCATGCGATAGCGCACCCTCAGCCACGATCCTGGGTGATTCCCACGCAAAACACTTCAAAAGCCGAGGAATTCACAGCCCTCGCCCTCCAAATGGATATCAAAGTCCCCAGAGATTTCAATCATGGCAAAATAAATCACTCAAGGCATCAATGCTGCTGGATAGGGATACGGTCGACACTCAATAATCCAATTTGCCATCCACCCACCTTTGGAAAGAGAAGGGAGGAAGATGAAAGATAAGCACCACTGTAAAGCGGAGGACGGGAAATGTTTGGAGGGGAAGGGCTCGCCCAGATGGCAAAGCTTCCACGCACAGAAAGGGAACCGTCAAGCACACCGGTGTCAGAAGCAACGTAATGGGGGGAGCGGGGGGTACGGATTTTACCCTGCTGTCATTTTTAAATGTACAAGAGATGCTGATGTATTTTTCATCTCTGTGCAAACACGCATCCCAGCTGAATCCATGAGGGGTGGATTTCCATGGTATTTAATGCCCTGGAGAACACCAGATTTTCATTTTTATCCCACTTGAAATCTTGCAAGTAAGCAAGCGGTGCTGGCAGCAGCCGCTCTGTCCTCCAGCTCCCGAAAACAGCGCAAGGGACTCTGCTTAGGTGCCCTGGCCTCGAGAAAACTTGACCACAACAGTTTAGCAAAGCATCCACAGAGCATCTACTATTTCTCTTCAGCTGCAAACGGGACCCAGAGGAACAAATGTAGCTGTGTACCTAACGCTGAGCGAGAAGATGCCAGCCCAACTTGGCAGCTGAAGAGGAGGGCTGTATTTCTTCACGATGAGCAGCTTTGCTTCAAACCAGCATCGTCCAGGTCAGTAACATCTCAGTGTCCAGCTAAGCACCCTCCAGACAGCAGCAGTCCTGCCCCACGGAGGAGAAGCTCACAGCTCTCACAGGTTCTCTGAAGGACCACAGTGCCTCTTTGGAGTAGGAACTGAATCCCAAACACACTTCTAAGAGGCAAACACTATTATTCTCTTCTTTACAACCAAGAAAACAGGGACATTGCAGCATGGCTAATGGTGACACAGAGGGAATCAAAATAAAGATTTCCTGATACACTGGACCACTGCTACTGACCAGGCTTCAGATAGCCCAAATATACCCCCCAGGAAAAACCCTTCAAACTGGGATGGACGATGTAACTCCATAAAACCCTGTGGTCACACATTGAGGAATTTTATGTTTGGCTTCCACTTCTCTAAAGTAGAAGAGAAATACAGTTAGGAAGAAAGAATTAAGGCTGGGAATGTGATACCGAAACAAAAATACTATGCCCGGAGCTCATTCTTTCAAAAGATACACTTGCAATTTTAAGGAGAAGTGGGAGGTTTGGTAAATCTCCCCCAAACATCCCAACGGGTTACTGGTATAAAGCCAGTTTAAGCGGCTGTTCATTCTTGAGTCACGTCCATTCCAGCTTTTCTGAGAGAGACGCTCACTGAATCAGGTTAAAGACTGAGCTGATCAACTGGGGATTGTGCAGAACAAAAATAAAAGCCATCGGTCGGCTGAGCCATAAAAGCAAGCAGCAAAATAGATTCTGCTTCAGACTAACCTGTCACGATAACAACCCTGAACAGGAAACCTCAACCTGAAGTTGCTGCACTCCACGCAGCGAGAGCAAAGGAAGAGTACTTGCTCTGCCAGCACTCACGCCGTAGCACAGAGCTTTCTGAGGAGCGGAAAGTAAAGCAGCCATGGCAGAAGGGCAGCACAGATGATCAAGGACTCCTGACTGAGCTCAAACATGCAGGAGAAAGTCCCCAGAGGTGAAAGTGAGGATGGGCTGGCCAGCAGGGACACAGAGACACAGCCTGGGCATGCAGGGAGCCGCAGGAAAGCTGAAGTTCAGCTGGAGCCAAGACTGGTAAGAAACGTGAAGGGCTTTTTTAAGTACACTGGAAGCAAAAGAAAGGTTAAAGGAAACATGGGTTTACTGTTCAACAATGTAGGAAACCTGGTGACAAAGGAATTTTGTGCTTTGAGGCTGATAAAGACCAAGTTAGCAAGACCTTAAGCCACTGGACAGACCTAAGCCCATGGAACCAGACAGGGTGCAGCTGAAGGCACTGCGGGGGCTGGCTGATGGCTCCGTGAAGCCACCCGACAGCATCTCTGCGAGGTCAGCAGCAGCGATGGCTCCCCAACCAGCGAAACACCCTGACATGAGACTGTCTTGTTGGCAAGAATGCAGCCAGTACCTTCAGTGCAGTTATTATTTCTATTAAGTGCTTGTGAGACCGCATCTGGAGGACTGCCTCCTCTTCTGTGCCCCACCTTACACGAAGGGTGCCGCAGCAATCCCAGTGGGAGGCCACAAAGCTGGCTAGGGGGCTGGAGCACAGGATGTACGAGGAGAGGCTCAGGGAGCTTGGTTTCTCCAGATTTAAGAAGAGAAAAGGCTAAAGAGAGATCTCATCATACACAACCACTCAATGGGCAGGTTAGGGAAGACAGAGTCAGACTCTTCTCGGTGGTGAACAAGGATAGAACAGAGGCAATGAACACAAGTCGGAACATTGGAAATTCCAACCTGATGCAAGAATATATTTTTTCTTACTTATTATGAGGGAAATCAAACACAGGAAAACACCCAAAGAGGTTTGGCATCACCATCCTTGGAGATACTCAAAACTCAACTGGACAAGGCCCTGGACTCTCCTTCAAGCAGGGGGCTGGACAAGAGACTAGAGACCTCAAAACGTCCCTTCAACCCAATTATTCAATGATTCTACGCCTTAGTAAATCTCCTCACAACTCCTTTCCACTGGTAACCTCCTCATGAACATGCCAAAGCAAACCATGACACCATCGAATGTACAGGGTGATCTTCAACCTCGTGAGTCAGGATGGAGCCAGCGAAGAGGGGAGCTGAAGTGCACTACAAACATCTCGTAATAATCTTATACAAGGTCCCTCGTACACCAGGACCTGCCCTGTTTTTGAATCATAGCCATCATGGTGTTCTCTTCGTTTCTTTCAAGTCTACTACACGCTATCAGGATTAAATAAAAAGACTGTCCCTTCTCACATCTTCTTCATCTTTTTCTTGCAACGCTGGTTGAAGACAGGCGAGGATCCCATCAGACTGTCAGCAGAATGAGAACCATAGCTGCTCTCGGAGCCATTGGGGCTCTGTGGCATCCCAGCTTCACTCATGCCTGACATCGGCTCCTCAAAGACATCGCTGCCCAGGACCCCATGGCCGTGGACATTGGCCTCCTCGTTTTCCTGTGGTTCCATTTTCACCTGTGCCAAGTTCCAGAGCGGGGAAGCGTTCACCTCAGCCCCTAGAGGAAGAAAAAGCATACGGCAGGAATTAAGAAAAAAGACAAATTACGAAGGGCGTGAAGAAAAAAGACAAATTACGAAGGGCGTGCAGATGCAAGGGACAGAGCACTGGTAAAAAAGAGCAAAAGCAAAGCTACAGGTAAACTAGGCTGGGGGGCCAAAAAAAACCCAAACCAAACACATGAACCAGTGTGAAGCAATTAAAAAAAAAAATTGTTGGCTTTTTTTTTTTTTTAACAGCCTGGTAATTGCCACTCTAAAAAAACCACACTATCCTTTCACAGCAACCATCCGCATGGTTTTCTCCACAAGAAACAACAACTCAAGGAGTCCACATCACTCTGCAGGAGTGTCCCAGCAGCAATGGGCACACCAGCAGCACACGGACTGGACCCTGCACACGCAGGACCAGAGGCAGCCCAGAAGTCACTGTGATGATGAGGTCCTTGCAGTGGAGGGAGATGAACAGTCTCAAATGCCACTGCCAGCACTGAAATGGGGACATCAGAGCTGCCATCAGCCACCCAACTGCCTGCCTCCCTGTGCTCAGCACTCAGGCTCATCCCATCCTCCAACAGAACGGAAAGAAACCCTCCTGGCTCAAACCTGCAGACACCCTGCTGGGAAACAGCTCCCTCCCCTGCCCTTTTTAAAAATTTTGGACTACTGTGCAAACTGAGCAGATTGAGGATTTTCTGTACACGATTACAGAAACATATTTCTTGATAACAGCACATGTTTTTCTCCCCAAGAGCAGTAATTATAGACTGCACTACTTCTGCTTATTTACAGTTTTAAGAGAGACAAAAAACTTATTAAAAATACACTAATTGGACCCCTTGCTGAGATGGGCATCACAGCCCAGAACTGAAGAAAGCCTGAAATCTTCTCACTTTTAAATCTTGTGTGGGGTTAAATTCACATGAAAGGAAAAAAAAAAAAAAAAAAAAAAAAAAAAAAAAGAAACTTATTTAGTAAGTTCTCCAAACTTTGTGTCTCAAGGAGCTTGGGTACACTTTGAAAGCACAACCAACCCTCTTGCACCGAGCCAAGCCCACTACTTACTATTCCCTGGTATCAATACACTACTAACGACAGTCCGTGATTACCAGCAATTGCACAGAGAACGAATCTGCCACCATGTTTGCAATGTGAATTCTCCCTTACAAAGGAGTCGGGAACCTCTTCCCCAGCCTGGGTTCCACAAACCAGGGCTCAGGAGAATAACGCAGCCTGTTTTAGAGACAGCAAGCCAGAACGAAAGCGCTGGCTGGTGTCCAGGTGCCTTCATGAAAGTCCTTGTTATGTTCATGATGAGTAACAGTGTTCCTGAGGGACACACCACTCAAACAGTAGCAGTGACAGAGCTGCAGCTCCGCTCTACACAACAATCAAAGATGCTCACTGAACCGACTGTGTCCTTCCTTCATCACGGCACTGCTCACCTTGCTCCTGTCACCTCCATCACCCGCCACTGCCACTGATGGCTAAAGGATTCTTAAGGAATCGACAGGGGATGTTTCATATTCAAAGCTCTTTAACTTCAAGCTACTTTACCAATAAGCTGTGTGGAGGAGCAAGGTCCCCAGTTTTACCTCCATTTCCCCAACGGCAACGCTGTAGGAGCCCACAACCACAGCAGGCGTCAACAGGAACAAACGGAACACGGAAAGCCGTAGCTAGAGCTGTGCCCTCAGACACTGAAGCCTTGCTGCCCTCCCTGTGGCCCTCACACTTGTATTTTCCAGATGGTGGTGTCCTAATTTTTTTTTATATTGGGCTCTCCAGCCTGCCCAGCTCCAGACTGGGACTTCTCACAGCGCTGAGATTTCCAAAGGCCCTTGTGAAGTGAAGAGATTTTCAGGGAGGAACAGAGCACTTGTATTCTTAATTAGAAAACATCAATTTGGTATCGGAGAGGCAAGAGGCATTTAATATCCCGCTAGCACGCTAACCTCCGGGTCTCGAGTGGTAGATGCTAATGCAAAGCTTTCCCGATGAATCACTCGCAGCCCCAGATGGGCCAGAGGAGTCTGCTGTTCCGTCTCCCACTAAAACACAGGCACTTCACATTTCAGAGGTACTATCGAAAACACGAGCTTCCAGAAACACATCAGATGGATCTGTGCTTTTTTAAAACTCAGCAGGATGTGCTATTTAAAAAAAAAAAACCCCTAATGGACTCAGAGGTATGCTCTAACATCTCTATAGATGCTACTTAGTTTAGGGTTAACAGGAGGACAGACTTCACTGTTTTTTAACCAGATTTTTAAGTGCTCCAGTCACAGAAACATGGCCTTCAACTTCTCAGTAACGTGAATCTCTGGAGGAGAATCCAAAACTACCAGGGAAGAAAAAAAAAAAGGAAAAATAAAATATCCAGTACTCACCTTACTAGAAACAAGGATAAAACTCTCGTCTCTTCTAAACTAAAATATATACAAACCCAGAAGTTGTTTTTGTCTTTGTTACATCAGACAAAGGGAAAAAACCCCAGGGTACTGCCACCTGCAGCAACCACCCTAGTTCAGAAAAGAGCAATAAAGCCCATGCACCATCACTGTGGAAAAACAACCTACCTCACACCAACAACAAAGGCAAGAACTTTAACAATCCCCTAAAAATGAACACCATAAAAAGCATTTTGTGTTCTACAGGGCCCATGAATGAAGCAAATATTTCACAAATATATTTTTTAGCAAATATTTTATTTAACAAATCCTCTTAATTGATACCTTTGATTCTTTGGGTTTGTATTTAGAAAGCAAGCGAGGGTATCTCTCCCATCCAAATCTTTTTATTAAAACCTACAGGTTTTTTTTCTTCCTCCCCTTCCTCACATTGGGATCTGCTGTTCAAAATGGAAACAAGATCACACGGAACAGCTGACAGACTGTTTCCAGCAGGAGCAAGAAACCCCTACCTGAAGTCTGTGGGGAAGCTTCTACTTCCAAGTTGGCAGAGAAGCGCTCGCTTTGAGCTCCAAGGACTCCAACGGGCAAAGACTGGTCGCCAGAAGCCAGATCTCCTTCCAGCTCCTCACTGATGGGGAAAGTAATATCACTAACAGGTTCCTCCTTAATCTTCACGGGCTTTGTGTCTTCTGCTGCCTTCTCAGGGTTCACAATCCTCTCGTACTCTTCAGAGAGCTGCTTGCTCACCTGTCAAAGACCAGAAGGGGTGAAAAAGAGGCCAGAAAGGTCAGAGGGACTTCAGAGACTCTGATGGCAATGACATCGCAGCGCGCTCTGTTCCCAGAATATTTATTTATAATAAATAATATTTATTA